GATCTATCTATCTATCTATCTATCTATCTATCTATCTATCTATCTATCTATCTATCTATCTATCTATCTATCTATCTATCTATCTATCTATCTATCGAGTTCATTTAGCTTGCCAACATTCAACAAGCAGTTTTTGGGGAGTATGTGTCTCTTCCACCTGTGAAAACATTTAATTCATTTTGCTGTCATAATCTTTGGTTTGTCGGTGCATTTGTTGTTGTTGCCGTTGTTTTTGTTATGTATGTTGCTTCGAACATGTATGGCTTTTTGTTGCAGTTGTTGATATTGTTGTTGTTGTTGTTGTTGTTGTTGCTGTTGCTGATTATGATGATGTTGTTCTTGCTGTTGTTGTTGTTGTTGTTGTTGTTGTTGTTGTTGCTGCTGCTGTTGTTGTTGTTGTTGTATTTGTTAGTGTTAATTGTTGTGGTGTTGGTGGTGTAGAGAAATTCAACAAAAACGAAAGTGATAAAAGCAACAACAAGAACAATAATAATAATAATGATGTTAATAAAAACGACGATATTCATAATAATAATAATAATAATAATAATAATAATAATAATTTATAGTTTAAAAATTGGTTTTTTGTTTTGCTTTGGTAAGAGTTTTACAGCGCTCAGAACTGCATAAGGTCATATGAGCGCACGTTTTAAAACGCGTAGCCTATGTTACGCTGTTTTTGCATCAGCCTTACATCATAACACCACATAAATGTGATCTAGGCTCAGCTGAATGCGGAAGACACAAAGGCCACCCAGTTCCCATTATCTGAGATAGTTTAATCTTATGACTTGCTAGGAGCGACAAGCAGACATATTATTATCTCAGAGGGGCCGCCATACATTCTACTTCTGGTTTCTTTCATTTATAACGGGCTGTGATGTTGCTTGTTTGTCGAAAGGACAGTGGGGAAGGAAATTAAACAGAGCAAGTGGACAGTGGGATATCTTCAGAGGATGAATGTCCTTCAAGAAAGACACTGTTTAGACTCTAAATGTCTAATACTCGGGGGGATACATTTCAGAATAAAAGCCCGTGGGCTGCATTCTGTCCGGCAAATTATAGTATCCAACCTGCCAGACAATTATGAGATAGTCCATCCTGAGAATCTCCCTAACGCAGAATCTTACTTCAAACATAAGCCAAGAACTTATTGCCAAGACAAACTAATATTACGCCAAAACATCCAGCTCTGATAAATTGACATTGAAACGAAAGTTGGTATTCCTTGAATTGTTATTATTTATAAATTTTGTCTGTCTGAATGCACTCTATTGTGTAAAAAAAGATTAGTCGTCTACACTGCTCTATGGGCGTTTATTCAGTTTGACAAACAACTTACTGTGTAATTTAAGTTAAGATCCCTGTGCTGTGCGATTGAGTTTGACAACCCCGCTCTAAGAGAGCCGGCCTACACTCAAGTCATGACTCCTGGGTACTTTATTTTGTTTGTTTGTTTGTTTATTTGTTTGTCTGTTTGATTGTTTGTTTGATTGTTTTCCTTGGCGCTTGCCATGATTAGAACCCTGACAGTATTTGTACATCTCCGGTGTCGTCAACCCTTGAATGTTTGAGCAATGCTAGAGAACTGATGGAAATTAGCACATGCGAAATTGTACAAGTGTAAATTCTTTCTTTCTTTCTTTCTTTTTTGGAGGGGGGGGGGGATTT